GGGGGCGAGGGCACCGTGGTTGGGCACTTGAGCAGGCATCCCAGCCGGCAGCGCTCCCATATGGGTTTCACCGGTCCGAGAGACGGAGGCATGGCCGGTGAGGTTCGGTGTGTGGGGGTAAAAAAAACTGAAGCTTTATTAAATGGGATGGAAATTTATTAAAACACAAACTTAAGGTTTGCCCAAAAATATGAAACCAAAGTAGAGTTTTCTTTTTTTTTAATCTAATGAAACTAACCTACATCCTAAAACCATCACTGCACATCTATCAAACAGTTTTGTTTATATTAAATCTAAAAAAGCAGTTATTTAATGTTTAAACTGTGAAACTCCCCTCATGTTAACCCGTTAGCATCAGCTTTTTGTTGTAAAATATGTTTCATATTTGTCTGAATGTGACCAACAGCTTCAAGAAAACAGATTTTCTTGAGAATAAAAGAAAAGGAACAGGCGTGCAGGCCTAATTTAAATCCGCTTATTGTAATTTCTTCAAAACGAGCGTAAAAATCTGTTGCCGTTAACGCACATTTCGGCCTCTCGTCAAGCGTTCCGAGCAGCTTTAGCAGCTCTCAATGTCAGAGCGTACTCGTCTCCACCGTGGCGGCGCAGAAGCAGCGTGAGGAGCGAAAGTGACACGAGGCTGAAGGAGAAGAAGGAGCGATTTCTTTGTCTCGAACTCCGACACAGATGCTTACCATTAGCATAACTTAGCAGGAAATGAAGGAGTAAGAGGGAGGTGTAAAATGAAGGCCACACGTTACCGGCAGATCTGAGCCTCCATCATTTAACAGCGAAGGCGAGCACCTACTGTAGGTGAAAATGGAATGGAAGGTTTTTCGCGGTTGCCAAAAGACCTGTATTTTTTTATGAATGGACCGGAGAAATATCTGCCAGAATTCACACTCTGTTCCTGAGCGAACCAGACCGTGTGGGCCAACAGTTTGATTGTGCGTTTCAAAGGGACTGCAAACAAATTGCACCGAAAATGACATTTTTTTTATCTTGTTCCTTTTTACGTTCAGCACAAAGATCTCTAATCAGAAATATCACGGAAAATTACTTCGTGTTTACGTCAACTGCACTGAAAATATAAGAGATAAAAAAAACATTTGCATTGAAAATAGACTGGATAATTGTTTTAACTGCTCCTTCTAAACAGCTTTCCATCTTGATTAATCAATATGTAGATAATGAGAGCAATCATGCAGTGATGGGCATGACATTCTGGACTAGAAAGGAAGTCTCTGTTTTACTCCGAGGCGGTGCCCTCACTATTGATTTGTGTACCTTGGCACCCCACTGACGAAATCTATTGTGACATTTCCATTTCTAATTTAAGACTCTGCTGCTGCTGCACACGTGAAGCTATTGTTAAAGGCTGAGGTGACACTTCCAGGTAAAACTCTTAACGCTTGAACCAAAAAACCCACATGCTCGACTTCGATTAATAGAAAGAAATTAAAAGCATTTATGTACAAGCAAATAAGAAGTTCGAGGGTTTTTTTGCAGCTGACACTGATTTGAATCTTGACGAGCAGAGCTAAGATTTCGTTTTGACTCTTTGAGCTCCAAACGTGGCTCTTGCCATGCCAGTGCCGTCAAAGGTCTCCCCTCAGGAAGTGTCTTTTTGACCCCCGGTCGATGACCTGGAAAGGTCAGGCCCCCAGCGCGGGCTGTGAACAAGCCCTCAGCCCCGTCATGCCCCGTCCCCCCCGGGGGCTCGGCTCTGCGTCACATGTAGTGTTGGCAGGTCGACCCCCGCTCGTACGGCAGCTGTCAGTCAGCTGTGAGAAAGCGGCTCAACAGCAGCCTTGAAACCGTCCAGAACCACAAATTTGAGCCTCTTGTCGTCAAATGTCTAAATGTTCCGGCGCTTTTAAGATTTGATGGAGTTCCTCTCCGTTCATAATTTCTGATGAGTTTGATTTTCGCTCAGGAAGAAGCTCCTTTTAGAAACAAACTCTGTGTTTGATGGAGTGTCGCTGGCTGAGGGGGGCTTCACAGCAGCTTTGTGTGCAGTCGCGGCGAGACGGCGATCGGCGAGGCAACCTGAGCCCGACTTCATTCGGACCGACTGGGTTTTCGTCAGAGGCGCAGTCAATCGGATTAGCGTTGATCATGACTCAAGATGATGGGATGTTAATCAGGACTGATCAGGCACTTAACAGCCTCTCAGATGCACCGGACTCACCGTGGGGGCCATAGGTAGAGAGCACAGCCCCCCCGTCCCACCTTCCTCCTCCTTCTCCTCCTCCTCCAGCAGATCAATGGGGCCTGTTGTTGTCGTCTAGAGCGTATTGACAGCCAGCTGAAAGCAGATAAAGCATTTCTAGRAGCTCGCCGCACACCCAGTTTTATGATTGTCATATTTCACTAACAGAGCCCCCCGCCAGGAATAAAAACAAACAAATAAGATCYGAAGTGTTGTTTGTGTAAGAGATRATCTGAGATGTCAAATMCGTTACAGAGTGGACGCTKAGAAAAATGATTTCCTAACCACAACATGGCTAATTTTCCTGATGTTTGACAAACTGTTCGTTCTTCTTAATCTTACCCTGTGAGAAATGTGGACATTTTGCAGACTTAATCTCCGTCTCGCTCTCATCGCAGTGGCTTTCCACGGTCTGCAGCTGAAGATCAAGAGGGAGCTGCACAGCCCGTGTTCAGAGCTGAGCTCCACCTGCAGCCAGGAGCGACCCTTCAAACTCCAGTATGGAGAGAAGTGTCCGTACAGCATCAGGTAAACCCCCGAGCTCCAAAAACACTTTTCTACAGTGCAACGGAGGGATGTTGTGTTCAGAAACACAACACATTAAAGAAAACTTTGTAGAGGGAGACAAAAGACAATTCGTTTGTTGGACCAGAGAGGAAGAAATTTGAAATGTACGGCGTACGTCACTACGATGAGGTGGATAATTTAACCTACTTGTTATTAACCTGCTTGTTGTTGTTTTTTCTTCATGAATCCCCCTTTTCTCCTCCTAATGGAGAAATGAACTCTGGCATCAGGTGTTTTCCAGGTGCATGGTCTCTAAAAGCCCTGTCACACTATGATGTTTTAGACCACTTCTGCCAACTTGTGAAAATTTTCAAGATGTCCACATTGAAAACGGAATTGAAAAAAATCAACTGGAAGCTTCTTTTAGGCATGTACATACTGTAATTCTAACAAATTGATCAAATACACAACTTTTATTAGCAATTTAGACATAAAAAAAGTTTCATAAGTTTTCTAGTGTGACAGGGCCTTAACCTTTTGTAGCACGAGAGCCACATGAACAGACATTTAGCAAGAGGAGCGTCTTCTTCCCTAGCCTGCTGAAGAGGGTCTGGACTCTCGGCTATTGACAAATGAGTTCTTGCTGGAGGCGTGGCCTCTGTTGAAGTTTAAAACGATTGGATCTGATTTTATCCAATCGCTAACGTTTGGCGTGACGTATGCAGTGCACCAGCTCGACCGTGAAGGGGGCTAAGCTAAGAAGCTAACCAGAAATAGTGCTCGCTGTGAACAACCATCCGCYACTGGGAAGAGAGAAGGACCTTCACTGAACGAAGTGGCTGTAAATGATGCTGCAGGCTTTGTGTGACAAATTTAACTCGATTAGGAAGCCTTGTCAACGCGGACCGGCTTCATTCACTTTTCCCACTGCCGTTACTAAACTACAGGCAGACTAAAATGGTGCAGAAAGTCAACGTTGTCGTTCAAAACTCCTCCTTCTGGTCACTAATTGGCTCGTTGAAATTCTACTGGAAAAATCCTTGTTTATGGGAGAAATCCTAGACGGAGCAGTGAGGGGAARCYGAGCAGAACTGTGTAGGAAGGCAAGGGTCAGGCTAAATGTTCCCTCGTTTTTGACAATTTCTGTYGTTTTCTAGGCACTCTGTTTTAGGACTATGTCTCCCTCCATAGCTAAATACAGCGCTTAGCATACACATGTAGCCGTTAGTGGAAGTGTAACACAAATAACATTCTGGCTGAACAAAAGTSCCCTAAATAGTTTACCAGTATCTATTTTTAATTTTAATTTGCCTTGAGGATTTTTAGTAATCAAATTACKTGAATTATTCGAGGARTCGTTTCAATCTTAAGCAATAATATAATTTCTGAGACGATTTATCGTCCAGCTAAATTTGTTATCGTRACARGCYTGTACACTGTAGCATCTATTGTAAATCTGTCTGTTATATTTACCAGAGAATTAAGATACAACACAAATCAAATGAGTTTTACCCACATTTTCTCTTTTACTCATTACCTACAGTGCCTACGAGCAGAAGCAGCCTGCAGGAATGAAGCCCTCCAGCCCAGTCACGCCCCCCTGTAGTACCCCCGTGTCCCCCCTGCCCCATGGCTCACCCACGGCCGCCCCAACACCCAAACCAGACAGGACTTACGCCCACATACCGCCGCCCTCGCAGCCCCTCCCTGACAGCGCCTACTCTATGGACCACAGGTACTGCAGCCTTTTCATCACCTTCAGATCAGTTTTATTTACAGTTAAACCTAACTTGTAGGGCTGGGCGGTATGACTCAAATTTTATATCACRGTATTTTCAACAATTACACTGGTTTCATGGTATTTGATGGTATTTTTTTCATCACAGCTCAGCTGATAAAATGTACAAACTTTACTTATTGACTTTTTTCTTTTACTGTACCTCTGTATCACTGTTTCCCTCCTCTTGTACRTCTTTTCTTCTTTGCCTGCTTGTAGACAGTAATCATGCATTTAGGTCTGATCGTGAAGGGTTGAGAAAAAATCATTATCTGTTCTATCGTTACACGTTAATAAAACTTAAAAGGACGACTCACCTTGCACACCAGTCAACTCCGCTGCACTACAAAACTACTTTCCCCCGGGCTTTTCAGAATAGAAGCACGCTAGAGTCGCCATGCAATAACGTCTCCATTATAACGAAGCGCGTTAAATCTAACCGTGCACGTCGCTGAAGAGTTGTTTACTATTCAGTGATGGTGAAAACAGGATGTTTTTCTTTTACATCAGACCATATAAGTGGCTGAAACACACCACCCGCGGCCAGTTGTTCCAACAAAAATGTTAGCATGCTAATGCATTTAGCGGTGCTGCGAGGAAACGTGTCCCCAGGGAAACAGTTTACTGCGACGAAGCGTTCCGCAAGTGTTCGGGCTATTTACACCGGTATTCAGAAAAGTCATATCATAACAAAAATAAAAACCGGTTTTCGGTACAAAACGGTATACCGCCCAGCACTACTGATTTTTTGAGTTCTCAGTAGATGGTGAGTAACAAATAGAATATTAACAAATAAATAAATCAGATCTTAATGAATTCCCAACATTCTGTTTGGCTAAATGCATATGTAGTGATAAGATACAAGCTATCTTGAAGTTTTGTAGACAAACTCACAACAGAGAAAACCCTAATTTGTTGCCTGCCTCAGATTTCGACGTCAGCTCTCAGAGCCGTGCCACTCGTTTCCCTCCCCGCCGACGATGGCTCGGGACAGCCGGCCCATTTACCACAGGCAGATGTCGGAGCCCAACATCCCCTTCCCTCCACAAGGCTTCAAGCAGGAGTACCCCGACCCGCTCTTCGAGCACCCGGCTATGATGGGAGCGCCTCTACCCCACGGTTACCCCGCCAGCATGATGATCAAACAGGAGCCGAGGGACTTCACCTACGACTCAGGTGAGAGAGTGGAAGGAGTTGCAGCTTTGCAGATGGTACTGTTAACAAGCAAAGAGAGCGTTTTAAGAATGAGAGGGGACGCGMTGGGAGGGGATGAGCGTTTATTAAGTTTGCCCATTAATAGGGCCGGGGTTCTGGTTGGGCTGGGTGTCTGTGCGCCGTTCACCATTTCCTGTGCAGCTCTAATAGTAGTGGGGGGGTGGGGGGCACGCTCAGTCACAGTTCCAGAAGCTGCCCTCCTACGCTTGTGCTCTGCTTTTGGTTGGAGACTAAAGGGACCTAATCAYCAGGCTGTGCGGAGCCTGAGGCTRCACCAGGACATGAATGAACATTCACCGGACGGCTGGGTTCATTCACAAAGCGGCAGAGTGGAGACCCAGGAGAGGCAGAGCTGGAGGAGGGGTGTGTGTGACCAGTCAGGGGGAAAGCAGAAAAAACTCTGGGGCCTCTTTTACATCTTTTTTACTGTGTATTACACCCAATCGTTTGCCAAAACGCTGCTCACAGTTCTTTTTTTTTCTTTTTCAGTCATTGATAAGCCAGATAACTGTGAAAAATTTGGTGTTTTCTCGCATTTTGGTACCATAGATGTGATCACAGAGTTTCACAACTGTGTGGCTTCTAAATGCCAATTAACACCACTGGATAATGCCAGAAGAAACACATGGGCTTCAGTGTAAAGACATCCTTTTTGTCTTTACAAACACTCTAAGAAGCTACTAGGCTGAGCTTGGCCCAGCTAATCAGCACAATTATTCATTTTTTGCAGACATTTGTTAAAAAATACATTTTACTATAATACAAACATCTTTTTTCATATGTCTTTTCAATTGTTTTGAGTGGCTCCATAATGAAGTCGTAAGTTATTAGTGAGCTTAGGTACAGGATCAAGTTAATTGATATCTGCAAACATCAGTGATTAGAATAAATCAAATGTTGGGTAAAAAAAAAGGTTTTTCCGGTGTTGTCGGTGCTTTTGTGCTGTGTGTTTTACTATACATGCAAGATGGAGCATGAGAGTGAATTTATTAGCATTTATTGTTGAGCATGTTGACTGGAGCAGGCCTGTCAGAGAGGATGGGCGGGGAGTGGTAATTTCATTAGCGGCAATTTCCTCTACAAGCCCATTACTTTGATGAAGCTCAGAGAAATGTTTATGGGCCTAAATGAAGGGTCTCAGTGTGTTTATTGAATATTCACTTTGTAACCTATTTGTTTGTTTTTGATCATAGCATCCTATCTGGGTTCTGGAAGCTTTGGACCTTCTCACAAAAATAGAGAGAAACGATGTAAATGAGTTAAATAACCTCCGGAAAATTGTGTCGTAGTCGACGTTATTTACAGAAAAGGTAGTAATTGTTAGAGCTAGAGTGACCCATTTCACTCAAGTCATATTTGCCACTTTTAATAAGGCAGTTTTTGTAAACAAAGCCTAAAATTTAGCTTTATTTTATGAAAATTCACTTTTATACAGYTTATTAATTTTGTGAATTTATTTCGGGAAGGTGTAAAGATTTACTTTGAACTGGTTCAAGTACATGCTTCATGTTTTATTTCAATTTGTTTAAAGTTTATCCAATAAAACTTCCATCATTTCACTAATATTAATAAACAGAACAAATACTGCCAGGTTTGAAAGCATGTTTTGGTTTTACACTATTTGGACTTTATTTTAAAAACTCAGAAATAAAAAAAATCTTTATCTTTTCAATTGTTTTGAGTGGCTCCATTACAAAGTCGTAAGTTATTAGTGAGCTTAGGTTAGATTTTTGTTGTCTAATGTTTAAAAAGATACCAAATATTAAATTAATATTACTTTTCAGGATTAAAAATGTTTAAGTCAAACACAAAAGGTGTACCAAATCCTTGCTGCTACTATTTTTATTGGACTGAATTTCACCAGCTCTTTATTTAAAGTTTTTAGATTTTACAAATTGACAAAAACATRTTTTAGTTTTAGAAAATTCATATCTTCTCCTGCCCAAAAACAGTAACAAAGTTTTAAATGCTGCAAACAAGATAATTAATAGGGATAGGTATCGCCTAGCCGATACGATTCTCGATACAGTGCAGCTCGATCTCATATTAATACATTTTTACTTTTTACTTATTTCTCTGTGACACAAATTTAACAAAACCAACAAAATAGTATAAAATTATATTATATATTAATAAATATAAAAAACAAAATGTGTCCAAATGTAACTCATCGTTATACTGCCCCCTAAGGGTTGTGGGTTGTATCGATATTACAATTTTAGCCGATATCTGATATTAATATTGCTTTTATGGCCGATAACTGATATTTACAGATATTACACAAACACATTGAGTATTTATGCATTATGCAGCATTACGTAGGATTTGACCCTACACTTCTTATAACGTTATAAAGTATTTTAGCATGGGATCTTTTTATTTTGGGTATATACTTCTCCTGTGCAAAAGTGAATGGACAACACAATAAGTGACTTTAGGCAGTGAATTTAAATTCGATCCATCAATAAATGCAATCATTTATTTACACAGTCATACAAAACCACTACAGTATACTTAATTGTGAGCAATCAGTTTCCTATAACAGTTAAGAACCAACAACAACAAGCATGCTTCGAGCGTCGTTGTTTGTCAATTAAGCACTTAAATAAAACATCAAACATCCAGCTAGATGTTGAAAAACAGACATTTGAGGCAAATAACAGTTTGGAAAGGCAGGTTGAAGAAAAGGAGGAAAGTAAGGTGTTAGCTTTTCTAACTTTTAACTTGAATAAGTGTGGGAAACCAGAAGACAGGGCGTCTCCTCGCTCAGCGTCAGCCGGACAGCGATGCTCGTAACAGCCAGCTTTTACCTTTAAAGATGAGGTGGGTCACCTATGCAGGTAGTCGGGGAGGTCTCTCAGTTATATATTTACACACAAACACACWTATGTCTTTCTCAATACCATACAAAAAATGACCAGACAGCCGACATGGCTCAATTAAACAGATACTACCTGACCAATCATCAAGCCTCCCGAAACAGAAACACAAACAGCAACTAGACATGGGTTTTTACGATGTAAAAACAAGTGTGCATTGCCATGTAGCATATCATTGCAGCATGGCTTTGCCTGCAGCATTGGACTTGCAGAATGAACTTTGACCAAGTACAAATGTGTTTTCTACACCAKTTTGTGCTTGTCAAGTCAGCAGGTGTTTGTAATAAGGGTAATAGTGTGACAATATGAAGTTTGTAGAGATTTTCTGTTAATGTTGCTTTAGCTGGGTTTTGAACCCTGTTGTCTCTCATGAAAGTCCATGGCATTGAGCATCAGACCATTGGAGCTGTGGCCAAGGGTGGTGCCAGGGGTTGGTTTGTATGTGTGCAGAAAGAGGCCACATTGCCAATACAATTATTGACACAAAACTGCATAATATTACAACAATAGAGCAGTATTAAGACAACATTATAGTAAAACGTCAAAATACAATCATATTAGTATTGTAACCACTGAACTATTGAGATCAAATATTATTCAACTATGGTTCAGTGCTGAGTAGATACAGCAGGGGGCAGTGTTGGACCAATACAAGGCTCTATTGACTCCCATTATAAATTATTAAACATTAATATTTCATAAACTATAAGTTTTACAGGCACCAAAAGGCATAGCCATCATCTGGCACGGGAGCCTTACAGATATAAATTAGAATGGCTGCTCTAGGACAAAGTATGCAGGAGGAGAAGCATGCCAAAGTGGAGATAACTTGGATGGGAAACGAATCACAATAGTGTGCATTGCCAATGCAATGCACACTGACAAGCAGGAAATCGATATCAGACGTTAATATTGGCCCAGCTTTACTAATCGGACTGATACCAATATACTAAAAAATTACCAACATCGTCTGATACCCATGTTGTTGCCGATATATCGTACATCTATAGAAATATTTATACAGTATAAATTGATTTTTATGCAGCCCTAATAAATAGTGGCAGAATTAYAATGTGCAACATAAGAGCTTAGTTTAGCATTAGCTAAGCCTGTGGGGGAAAGCTAACATCGATTGTTTTGATTCAGTTTTGTATTTAAAGCCCAAGTGTAGCAGCATGGTCTCGCATTATGAAAAACTTACATCATGTCGGCCTGTGTTCTCACAGGGTGGAGACGCTCGGCTCCAGGCCAGTATCAGCAGTRTGATACAGTGCTTTCGCCTGTGGCTGCCAGCCGTTGCAAAGCCGTGGCTGGAGGGCTTTTTCTTTAATCAGAGCCACCGGTGCATTGAGTGAACAGGCTCTGAATGCTCTCAGATAGCTGAGAAAGAACTCTTAACGCCACCTTCGGGCCTTTTTAACACCCGCTCTCGTTCTCTGCCTGGTTTTCAGCAGAAGTGCCTAGCTGCCATTCTGTCTACTTACGACAAGACGGCTACCTGGCTCACGCTGGCAGGACTGAAGGTACCGATGATGGCATGTGTGAATGTTGCTTTTCACAGAGTTTTACACCCAATCATCCTTTCTGTATCTTTGTTTCTTGAAGGTTGCATGTTTGACAAAGTGGCGAGGCATTTCTACGACGATACCTGCGTGGTGCCCGAAAAGGTCGAAGGTGAGCCCAGCCCTGAGAAAAATAAAATAAATAAATAAAGGCTTCATGTGCAGCCATTTTCATTTCCCGCTGTCGCACGTTTGTTCCTCGCTCTGCAGGTGACATCAAGCAGGAGGCCGGGCTGTACCGTGAAGGCCCGTCGTACCAGCGCCGGGGCTCGCTGCAGCTCTGGCAGTTCCTGGTGGCTCTGCTGGACGACCCATCCAACTCCCACTTCATMGCCTGGACCGGCCGCGGCATGGAGTTCAAACTCATAGAGCCTGAGGAGGTGAGGCGCATGTTCAAACAAATCCATGATTTTAAAAAGCTGAAGTCCTCATCAAACAGATGGGATTGAATAAAAACCTATATTTTAGTCACATTTTATGTAAAAAAAATATAGTACCACTTTTTAATAAGGCTCCCCTTATAAATAATTGTCTGTAACACTTTATAAATCATTAATAAGTGTTTATTATGCATTAATTAAGGACGAGAGAGTCAAAACTGTCTGGTTTCTTGCCAAATAGTGAGCCAAATCTATTCATGTACATATTACATTTAAAGAGATTAAACATTTCAGACTAGGTTTCTACCTTGTAAGCACAATAAGGATTTGGAAACACAGATTTTACATATAATATTGTAAAGTGTAAGACAATGACTGATAAACATGTATAAATACCATAAAGGAGCTTTATAAATAGTGTACAGTCTTACACTTTACAATAAGGCTCCCTTTGATAATTGTGGATATGTATAATGCAGTAATACAGTACAATATTATGTGTTTCCAATACATTATTGTGCTTACAAACCTAGTCTGGAATGTTTATTATAGCACCTTTTAGATGTAGTATGTTCATGAACAGATTTGGATCACTATTTGGCCAGAAACCAGATAATTGGATCACTATTTGGCAAGAAACCGGACAGTTTTGTCTCTTTCTTGTCCTTAATTAGTGCATAATAAACACTAATTAATGATTTAATGATTTATAAAGTGTTTACAGATTAATTAATAACCTATCTATAAACTATTTATAAGCCATCTATCAGGGGAGCGTTATTGTGAAGTGGTACTGGGTTAGAAATGAGTATTTTAAAGTAAAATCAGACTTTTTTTCTCTGAGGTTGTTAGAAACGCTCTCATTTTATAATTCACATAACAAAAAAAAAACAAAACATGTAAGTCTGTTGGWCCTTTTTCAGATGGGAACAGTTTGGGTTTGTGTATGCCACTTTGCACRCCGTGGGGCTCAGTTACCATTGGGGGTGTCTTCAGGGGGTGGGGGTGTAGGAAGCAGGAGATAGATGAGTAGGTGGCAGTGGTCCACGGAGCCCTACGGCGTCTCAAGGTGCAGGCCAGCTGCAGCTCACGGGGGCTCCCTTCATGCCATCAGGTGATGCAGGATACAAATGTTAGCTAATGCTTCTGCGTTTAAGGCAGGCGGGTGTTACAAGTCACACACACACATTTAAGAAAACAATCATTTTGAGGAGAAAAAGGCTAAAAATCGGGATTAAAAATCAGGAAGAAGGGAGGAGTGTGGGGTTGTGGGTTTGGACTGCGAGCCCGGATGGTGGGTGGTCTGTGAGACAGGTGCAGTAACATCTGCTGCCTCCTCTGCTGAGTGTGTTGACAGGCTCCTAATGAACACATTCCTGGTCAGGTCCACTCAGGCTGGATGCACTCTAATTACTGTCATTAGAAAATATAGATTAATAAGTTTGTTTAACATTTCAGCTGCCGCAAGGTTTCTTATTGGAAAATCCCATCAGCTGTCTGTTAACCGGCGTCGCGGTTTACCGACTGCGTTTTTTGTGTGTGTAAGGTGGCGCGTCGATGGGGGATACAGAAGAATCGGCCAGCGATGAATTATGACAAACTCAGCAGGTCGCTGCGCTACTACTACGAGAAGGGAATCATGCAAAAGGTAAAAGAGAAAGACGACACAAAGAGTATTTACAAAAGGATGAAAAGATCACCTGCTATGGATCAAAACTCATTTTTACTTTTCTCAAACGGGACTTTAACCACAATAAATAAGCTGGTTAATGTTCTTCTAGTCAGTGGATTAAGTCCTACAGAGAGACGAGGTCTATGCATAGAGCTAAAGAACACTAGAGTGAGCCCCGCCTTTTCCGTCCTGTTAGCATATGAGCAAAAATGTTGACAAACAGGGCATCAGCAACTGGATCTGTCACAAATTCTTTGTGATACTCTTACAGTAAATTAATATAATTGCTAATTATGTTAATTTATTCAACGGTCATGTAAAACAGCTACAGTAGATATAGACAGGAAAAATATATAACTTATAAGTAAAAATGATCTGAAACAGACCTGAAGTCAGTCAGTAACTTGAATAATTGACTTCAACTAGTAATAAAGTAGATTTATTATTTCTTATCTGTCATAAATAATAATAGTAATAAATAATAAATATTTACCTGCCAACTCTAAGAAAATGTTCACTGCATACCTGGTTATAGGATGAAACTTGTTTCTACTGATATTGGCTAACCATTTTCTCAACAGGTCAGGTTTGTCTAATAGAAACCTACAACTAGTTAAATATATATTATTTTACACAGTGTAACTATTACATAAATCAGAGGCAAAAACCATCTTGTAATATTTAATAAATAGTGCTAAGTTGTAGCATGAGTAAGCAGAGTGCTACACGCTATAGCAACATATGCTAAAGAAGCTAATATCTCCTAACCAGTTCAGTAATTAACGGTGAATAGATCGTTTTTATAAGCTTATTTTAATTTTAAACTGTTACATTATCAGCTTCAGTTCTGGTGAGGTCACATCAACATTGAGGTAAATAAAATAAAATCTGTTTACTGTTTCTCTTCTGTTTGTAAATCCACAACACACAGACTGCTTTCTGACAGTTTTATATACATTAGATTTATATACACTCTAATATAATAATAATAATAATAATAATAATAATAATAATAATTCATTTAATAGGATTTCTACATCATTACAATGGTAAATGTTCTTTTAGTCGGGATTAATTCCTACAGTGAGATGTGGTTTATGCAAGAGGCATTAATGCACCCCTATGCCATCAGAGAGGCACGCTTTTGCACCGAACACCGATAACAGGCTGGATGATCCTGATCCCCTTTAGTACAAAGGATGTGGCATCCATTTTTTAGGGTTGTAGATGTGTGTTACATAAATTAAAATAAATCATGTTTGTCCTTCGCCAGGTGGCCGGCGAGAGATACGTGTACAAGTTTGTGTGCGACCCCGAGGCGTTGTTCTCCATGGCGTTCCCCGACAATCAGCGGCCGGTGCTGAAGACGGACATGGAGCGGCAGATCAACGAGGAGGACACGGTGCCGCTGTCGCACTTTGACGAGAACATGGCCTACGTGCAGGAGGGGCCCTACTGCCAACCGCACCCCTACAGCGAGGGCTACGTTTTTTAACGTCAGCTCCACCAACACACACACACACACACACACACTCAAACACACACCTGCACTCTGCCACACCTCCTCCACACACCTGAGACTGTCATGTCCTCTGATTCACAGTCGCTCTGGGAAAAAGACTGGGGATAAACACACACACACACACAACACACACACACACACAGTGGCACTTCCCTCTTATCTATCCAACATAAACACACACACTCACACACACACACACATCCTCTGTTTTGTCTTTCTGACGTCCAGAGAGTGCACTTTAAGGACAGGAACAGCCTGGTGGTAACCTGTAAGGGTCAAACTGTTTGGCTTTTTGTTGTTGATGTTTGTACATTTGTGTGGAAATTATTATTTTTCCTTAAACCTTATTGTTTGGAGCATGTGCTGGTCCCAGTGACACTGGACTCTGTGGCTAATTCAAGGTCACTAAAGGTTAAATTCCTAAATCTCCTCTTGTCACACATGAAGCTAATGGGACAAAGCTTTTTTTTATTTTTATTATTATTTTTTTTCCTTACGCAGATTGGAAAAGTAACAATTCTTTTTATGTTGAAGAGACATAATCCCAGACTCGGAGGAGTAACGTGACTTTTAGCCGTTTCGATGAGAACTGCCTCGCCTCAGGGCTGAACGTCTGCGACCCTCTCCTCCAGTCGAACTGTTAGAGCCCATCTCGTTGGTGTTTTTCCTGTAAACTCCACCGGATCATTCCCTCATGCGATTTAAAAGAAATAAAAAACACAAGCCTCGTGGACTGGTTGAGGACGTGCACTGGATTTGTACAGAAGAAACACAGACTTGTTCCGGATCAGACGTGATTGGCCCTTTAGCCACAGGTGGCTGTGAGAAACCCAAACAGTTTGTTTTGTCCATTTGTCTCACAAATGTTCCTTTTTCCCAATAAATAATAAGTTTATGTACAGTTAAAATGATTCGATCCTGAAAAACATCCTGCTTCTGCAAAATCGAGGGAGAAAAAAGTAAAAAGCAGTTGATTTTATTAGCTTAAATGATTTTTATTTCCACCTGGTGAACATGAGTTGTACAATGGGATTAAAAGAAGAGGGAAAAAAGTTGCTTTGTCATTGGTTTTTCTTTTTCCTTTTTTTTTTTTTGAAAACAAAAAGAGCAACCATTTAGAGGTTTATAATGTGGTGAATTAAAACTAAATTGAAGTTGTAAGTGTAATTTTCTAATTTGGAGATAAAGGAAAAGAAAATGTCCCGCAGTTTTGAGCTGCTGTTCACTTTTTTCTTATTTTTAATTTCGGCAACAAAGCAAGTCTGGTTTAAACTTTGTTTTGTTTTTTTAAGCTAATGTGTGTGGGATGGGATTGGCAATAGAAAATGATCTGTAATAAAATAGTTAAATTTAATTTATTTCCACTTTATGTTGCTGAACACGTGGAATCCAACGTTGTCCTTTTTGTTTTTGACATTTGTATTTCTTTCATGAGACGTATAAATCCTCTCTGGCTGAGATCTTTGCTGGCTTATTTATTTATTTCTTGGATTTGCATGAGCTCAAACCTGAGCGTGATGACTAACAAATTATGGACTTTTTTACCAATTTCCAGCTCGGAGTGAAAACCACAAAGCATTTAACCTAAATGACACCTGAGGAAAAATCAATGGCCAATTTAAGACAGGCCTTTTTCATGTAGGTGAATTGTTTCAGTCTTTTTGTTTTCTGGCGGTCAAAAGTTATTATTTCCTTTTTAGAAAGTGTCACTATTGCTAAAAAAATCAATGACTAATTTAAGGAAGCRTTGTTTAATTGCTTCCACCGATGGGGGAAAAATGAAAACGGATGTGTAAGTAATGAAAAAACACGACTTGCCTTAATTTGTGAGYGGGTTCCAAGCAGACCCCATTACAGTCCCCTCTCTTAGACCTGTTTATTGATCGTCTGTGGAGGAGGGAATCGGCCTCAACTTTAAACAGCAGATTGCTTCCCTGAGGACATTTAACAACATCTAATCTGACGTCTGCAAAGCTCCAATCWGGATTTTTAATCTGATGAATGAGAAGTTTTTACTGCAAGTTTTCTCTGTAAAATGACAAATTCACTAACAGGTTTAAAAAGAAATGACACGTTTGCACCTAAAATTTAGATTTAAACTCTTATTTAAAATGATTCTGAAATGAAATTTTGAATGAAGCCTTTTTCAGGCGATTTAATTTTGTTCTTTTTATTTATCGATTATTTATTTTATATATTTATCCGATTTAAGATGGCTGCCATGGCCAGCAGAAAACTTCATGTCAGACAGTTTTCAGATATTGAGCTTGGTGGTAGTAGCTGAGACTGATCCTCATCTCGTGCTCTGAAGCCTCACAGATCAGGAAGATCTTTACTCAAATGTGCATTTGATCAAGAAATCCTATTTTTATTGCCTTGTATAATTTATAATCATTTAAGTCTTAGTTAGTTGTAATTTTAAGTTGTGAGACATGAACAGTTTACTTTTGATTGAGTTTTTTATTCAGTTCAKTCAGATTTTGATTAATTTTTTCTTTCCAAGAATCTGGAAAAATCTCTATTTTAAAGAATAAAATCCCCATTTGTACTTGTGATGTAAAGAAAACTTCAGGTTTTGTCATTTTTAACATTTTCAACGTGTGAGCAGAAGAAATAAGTAGATTAAGGCCTGTTTACAGTTGATCCTCAAAGTCCTTTGAACTCTGGATAATTTTTATAAATCTAAAAGCAGAAAAAAGCTGCGTTAAAAATCTGCACTTTGCATTAATTTTRCTTTAAAATACATTTAATACCATAAAACAATGACACAAACATGTTAATCTGTTAGTTTTAAGTTTTCGCTGCACATTTCAGGTTTTATTAAAGTGGTTCAGTTTCTCCTGAGTCCGACTCCCCTTCAGATAAATCCAGCTCTTATTTCCAGGACTTTTTAGGCTGCCTGCGGTTTGACTCCTGCTGTTCAAATGAGCGTCACGGTTACTGACCGGACACAAATGACTGTGGTTTATATTCAAACTCCCATCATTGAAATCTCATGCAAATACCTGGGCGCTTTAAATATGTGGTGAGATTCCTCGGTGGGCTGGGAGTTTCTGCAGCCCAGAGTCTGAAGGTCACTTCCAGGATTACTAGTCTTACACCTCTTAAAGGCGTTCTGTCGCTGAGTCTGAAAATCACCATGCAAATCCTGTTATCTGGCCCCCGCTCAGGAAATCTGGGCCTCAGCTTTCAACATATTTACCATTTATGGACATATGCTTTACATCCTGTGCCACGGGCCAAATCCTGCCCTCCTCTGCTGCACGACCAGCTAATATTCTGCGTATAAGTGCTGTGAATTGTGGTCCTCCCCCACTGTAACAAGCAGATGGCCACTCGATCTTGAGTCATCACAAACCCATTACGAGAGTGACTCGTCCTCAGCCAGGCCGCCTTGATTCGTGCCCGATGGCTCTCGCCAATGTTTGTTCAGGCTCTTAAGTCGTCCTCGGGCTTTGTGACACGCCGTGTTTGCTCRGGTTAAATGGCTTGTGTTGCCCACGGTGTCCCCTGATTGGCCGCGACGCCGCGGTGTTTGACAAGCGAGATGACACCGAGCCCCCCCGCACCAAATGTGTTTGACTGTTCGAAACAAGTTGGCTTTTTAAGCAGCGTGTTTACACACCGAAAAGCTCTGAGTGTGTTTTTGTCTGTGTTGCCAGGGTCTATCAGAGGCCGGAGCGGTGGGCATAAATCATTCAGAGGTAATTCMGAGGAACAACACAGGTTCTAAAGAGGAAAAAGCAGGGAAATTATAAAGCATCTATAATGGAGGGCCTATTACTGCTGCTGGTCTGCTTAAAGGCTGCCGTACAAATGGTTTTTATAATCTAGAAGCCTCTATTTTGGGCAAATCTTTGTCTCAACACAATTTGAAGGTGGAATAAAAAGAGTGGTTCAGACATACGCCTTTTTTTTTCCACAGCTGAGGTAGAAATTGGATGTGGATTTATCTCTTCTTAATTTTTTCACTGCAAAAACTGTCCACCTAACCAAGTTTTAAAATCTTATTTCCAGCCAAAAAGTCTTTTTGATCTTGTTT